CAGGGTTCTGTTGGTTATATTTTGAAGTGCTGCGGCTCAGCTCTCATGGGGATATGGCAACGGGATTTGCTCATGTCTCCAAATCGCCGAGCACATCCCAGATCGCGAAATCCCTTCTGCTTTTTGTCAGGACTGGGAAGAAAAGTGAAACCTTGCTTTGGTTCACACTTCTCTGCTAGTTTCGACAAGGTTGCTACAGAATGATGGGGCATTACATCCGAACTTCAAGCGTTGGCTTCTGGCCACAAGGACCATGGTGATGCGGGGATCCCACTTGCTGTCTCCGAATCCGGGACTTCCAAACGAGAGAGTCCGCCCTCCATGTTGAACACGTGGCGGTCTCTACAGCGGCACTGCAGAGCGTCTAATTGTTCAGGCACTCAGTGTTCGACTGGCCTTGCTTATCATATATAGTCATGTCGCTCCGTTTGGTTGAGCTCAGGAGAAATAGCCCATCAGCCTTTTCGTACCCCAAGGGAAACCACAAAGGATATGTATATTTCGAACATATTTCCAGATCCATTCGGGCAGATGGCCACTCACATTCACTTGCAGGGGCAAACCTTTATGCAGGAGGGGGCGGCAAGGGCCGCCAAGGGAAAGGACCTACGGACATGTCGGTTTGCGGAAAGCCGACCAAAGACGAACCCACCAAGCACGACCAGTCCGAACTTTGACCGGAGCAAAGGGCGACCACACCATGCCTGAACAGCAGCTGCAAGGGCCTAAGCAAAATCCAGGGCCTCTGTCCCCTACCTTGCCACCCTGTTTTCCATGCAGCAACGCAAAGGGGGGGGGGTCTAAACAGAACGCCGGGCACCATGGACAGGTCATGCGGGACTCAGCGATTCGTTCTCGAGGCCTGCGCCGGCCTGGCGGCACGCTATGTGCCCCAGGCCTTCGTGCCCGGCCTGGCGCAAGGGGCGGCGTGGGCGCGCCCAGCCGAAGTCTGGGGGTTTGCGTGGACGTTGGGTTTCACTCAGTCTTTGGTTGGAGTTGTTGGCCTTGGTAGGAAGAGCCCCACAAATCCTGCAGATCGGAACTGGCTTTTCCCTCTGGGCTACAGAGCGCGTGATGTACCGCGGTGTGTCCACATAGCAACGATAGCAATCGATGCAGGCGGCCAGTGCCTGATCGAACAGGAAGACTGTTGCTGCGCTCCATATTGGTCGTAGCGAGACTGGACAGCAACGAAGACAAGGGAGAAGCTTCGCGGGTGCACACACAGCGCATAGAGGGCAGATTGTGCTCTTATTCGTCTCGAGGGTGCTTGGTTGACTTGCCTGCTGTGCTGGCTTGATTGCCTGATTGCCTGATTGCCTGATTGCTCGATGGTTCCTTTTGCTTATGGAGCACAATCTCGACCCCAGACTACTGGAATGGGGGATCCATAGGGGGCCTCTCCGTCAAAAGAGGGAAGGATTCGGATTCCCCGTGCAACGGGACACCCTACCATCAACAGTCTTGAAACGCGGACGCCCATAGACCATCGACATGTTTGATCAATTGGCTTACCACACCTCCCCTCTTCTCGCGGCCTTTAGGCCAAGCACTCCCCACGCCAGCTTCGCCGAGGGCAAGTCCACAGGGGTTGGAGCCCTCAGACGGGAGATGGTGCAGAGCTTGAGGTAGGCAGCCACCCCTCACCCCCCCCACCACTGGCTGTGAAATACATTGACATGTGCCCCCAAAATTGACCATACCTGTGGCCAACCATTGAGCCTGAAGGTTGAGTGGGGGGCCGGGTCCCTAAGTGAGTGGTACTTGTGCATTTGGGCTGCCACTTTCTGTGAACAGAGGAATCCGACTTGAAAGTGACCGAGGGATGGGAATCCCACTTTGGTATCCGGGCTATTTCCGCCCCAAGTCAGTTGAGTCCAGGGTGCCAGGCACGGTACAGTAACACAGGATAAAGTGCACAAAGCGCACCAGTTGGAGGTGGTTGATCAACCGGCCTTTATAGGGTCTCACCCTTCCCAGCTGGTACAGGATGTTGTCCATCCCACTGCATTGCAGGAGGGGAATGCGTATCTGAGTCGTGTCTGCCCTTAATATTTGTCTCAACAGCGTTTCGTAAAGCCTTGGGCAGAGCCATGTCAGAAGCATGAAAGACACGGCAGTGAACAAATCAGGTCAACCATTGTGAACGAGGTTGTTCCCCCCAAGCCCAAAAGCCGAGAATGACATCGAACCCCACAGCAAGTCAGCATAGATGTCGCAAGTTCACTTTGATTGAAAGTCGACGTTGATCAAGCCAGCTCTGTCGTGAAGCTTATGGGTCCCAAAAATGGTTCCCAGGATAAACACTCACTATGGGAGAACGCTCCCATCCCGCCCCAACAAAAGAAGAAGAAGAAGAAAGAAAACATACAGTGGATGTAGACACATTCTGGTTCATGTGACTCCCACAATGAATCGTTGCTAATTCCTATCAGAGAACAACACCATGGACTGTTGGTTGCAAATTATTATTCCCAAAACCGGACAGGGAACCCCCCCCAAAACGAGCTCGTGCCTTCAAAGACGAGCCGCGCACGTCTCTGGGCTCTCGGCTCAGCGCCTCCCGACTCGCGATCGCGCGACTCGACTCAAGGCCCTCGCCGGCTTCGCGGCGGTGAGCTGCGCCATCGGCGCCGGCGCTGCGGCGGTGCAGTCCCGCGCCGCCCGCATGGCCAGGCGAGCCGCGCGGTTCGTTTTTTGTTTTTGGCTGGTGTGATAAAATGGCAGGGAACGAGAAATGACCCCCTCACAAACCTTCTATGGTTTCCTTGAAAGGGAATTCTGGGTTCATTCCCACATTCCCTACTGAGCACCAAACAAGTCTTTTTGGGGCTCCGGGCCCTTCCTGTTGCGTGGACTTTGGGTCCAAGGCAGTTCGTGTCAAGCGCCCATGAGTCCAAAACAGGGAACCTATGGAACCAGCCTGTCTGCAGTGGGTCCAAGACTGCGTCACTCTCCATAGTTCCAATGCAGCTCATGGACAGCTTTGGCCTGATGGGTGTGCGTGCGTGCGTGCGTGCGTGCGTGCGTGCGTGCGTGCGTGCGTGGGTGGGTGGGTGGGTGGGTGGGTGGGTGTGTGTGTGTGTGTGTGTGTGTTTTGTTTGAGGCTTGGTATACTTTGCAGGTTGGCTTACTTGCAAACCAGCGGGGAAACCACCATTTGGGGTCTCCTCTTCAAGACACTCTTGTATGATCTTTCAGAAGAAGCTATAAAGCCTTTTTTAGGGGACCCCCAACAAACTTGTGATTCGCCTTTAGGTTTCAAAACAGTTAAAGTGCCGCAAAAAGACGAGCCACCCCAAATACTTCTTGAGATGATTGGCAAATTGTTCGGTGAGTGACCCCTTGCTTGGGCTTTTGGCATCTTTCAGTGCTGCGAAGGCACAGCAGCTTGCTTTTTGGAAGTAAACATTTTTTGAGGGTTGGTTTTTTCGGGACACCAACAATTTTCTTGGAGTTCCCCTAGTTTGCGACAAGCCCCCAGCTGAACCCCTCATTCTCCGGTGCGAAGCGATTCAATTGCTTGGCCAGGCGATCCCACGCAGTGAAGATCTACGACACGTGCATCGGCGCGCCCGGGTTTTCGGATCGTAGCGGGATTGGATTGCCTGGCCAGTGGTGTCTGCGAGTCAATTGCGCAGCACATGGCACAATTCAAGGTGTCATAGTTAAAGCCCCTCTTTGAAAGGTTGCATTCGTCTTGTGACACGCTGAATTCTATATTCTCGCGTCCGTCAGTTTCTTCCACTGCAAATTAATTTCTGTCACACCCACCCGCATACATGCATACTGGTTCCTTGGGCTATTTTGATTCCCACCATAGCCGCAAGCGAACCGTCCAAACCGATGACAGTCTTGCTTGAGCAGTTGCTTGGGCCAGATTCGGTCAATTGAGAAGACGCTTTGCTGACAAAGGTGCAATCATAGATTTTCATAAAGCCTTAATCTCGAAACCCGAGACATAGTGTCCACACCCAATACCTTCACCCTACGAGAGACTAGTCTGCGAAGCCCAAAGCAAGATAGGGCAAAGATGTGTTGATCCACATCTCGGCCGATTCTTTGCTTGAACTAAGGGACAGACATTTCGCGCCTGGCCAGGCTGCACGCTTTGCGTCCGCGCCTGTCCTACTGATGTACTGGAGCCGCAGCCCGAGTTTGATTGATTCCAGGCAACGGCTTGGGGCTATAGCTTGGGTTCTTCTTTGAATTGGGGACCCGTTTTTGGCCTCGCAGATGGCCCAGTCTCGCAGATGGCCCAGTCTCTGTTTTTTGAGGGCACCCCCGTTTTCATGAATTTCAAAGGACACCAAAAGGGCAACCCTAAACACAGACAGCCACGCCTAGGGCGACAGGCCTTGAGAGACAGCCTTTGTGAGCCTTCAGGATGGTGCCCGCCACCGTGAACGCCGCCAAGCAGGTTGCCTCCTCTCCTCGAGTTGAGGAGCTGCTGGCATTTAAAAAAAAATCGCTGGGGGAAGCTTCTCCCCTGTTGGCAGTATATATGTATGTGTTATATATTTACTCTCTATATATATATATGCTGTTTTAAGCACATGTTGTTTCTGTCTGTGGCTCGTCCTTTTTGGAGTCGGTACCCTAAAGAGGAAACCGAAGGGGAAGCCACCATTTTGGAGGCTCCCAAAAAGTCTGTTCCTCCGCTTGGTTTGGCCTGGTGGCCTGTTGCGTGCAAGGGCCACAGTGTTCTGGCTTCATTTCTTAACGGAGTTCTTCCGTTTTGCCTTGGTTGTTTGTTTTCCGGCGTTGGCCGTTTGCGTGTTCTCTTGCTCGGTGTCTCAGCTTATGCAGTGATGCTGCAAGTGCATGACTAACGCGCTTCAGGGCTGTGCTATGCCTTCTATCAGCACCTGCGTCACGTCAAGTTTTGCCACGTAAGTGTTTTGCAGTTGTTTTCATGTGTCTTGCAGGTTGCTTTTATTTGCCAAGAGCAGGGAACCCCGATTCCGAGCATTTGTCATTCCATTCCCAAACCCTGAAGCATGGGCAGCGCCTCCCGATTACGAACTCTTTGATGCTGCTCCGATTGAGTCTAAACCGTCTCTAGCCCAAAACCAACATGGTGGCTGGTGGCTCGTCTTTTTTGTAGGCTCGGCCCCAAAAGCATATCCCTTTAAACCGCCAACTCGGGGTCCCCTTAAAAACAACGCAATGCGAACCCAAAACGCAGGGGTGCAGGGATGGCTTGTGTATGGAGTTGTTTTTCATTTTCTTGTTCCGTTTTGTTTCTCGGCAGGACTGCGTGGGCTGCAAGCGCTGCGAGACGGCTTGCCCTACGGACTTCCTGAGCATCCGCCCGAAGCCAAGCGCTTCGTGTTGATCCGAAGCGCTTCGTGTGCTGTAAGGATATTGGACACCCAAAGTGGGTGGGTATCATGATGCAAACAAGAGTAGTGCCAAGGAACGTGGTGCCAAGGAACGTTGTTGGGCCAGAACGGTTTCGTCAAATGTGGGGTATATCCTTTTTGAGACACGCGTCTTGGGCGTGTCTTGGGGATTCCCCGAAAGACGAACCGCTGTGGCAAGTAGGGAACAAGGGGATTCATTTGGTGTTCACTATGCACATGGCTGCAAATATTCTGAATCACCCATACCCTGCCAACCTGAAAAGGAGCGGGCCAACCAGATCTAGAGGATTGGCTCTGGAGTGTGTGTGTTTTTTTGCCCGAAAGCTTGTATGGTTTTTAGCCCAGTGAAGATTCACTGGTGGTCGAACGAGAACGGCATGCGCAGTCAAATATGCACTTGTCAAACGAGGTTGCTTAGCTCTGAGAGAGCAATGAGTGAAGAATGTGCACAGGGCTCGCCACAAACTCCAGTGATACTTGGAGCCAATAATGGCTCGGCGCTTGTTTTTTTTTTTTTTTTTTCTGGATGAACCAATGATATTTTGAAGGTGGTGGAGGGGAGTGGCTGGAACATCGGGAACCCACAAACGAAACTTGGCAGTTTGTTTCTCCAATTTTTATACGTATGCCCGTGGGGGCACCGCCTCTTCGACCATTGAATGCTTTTTGTTTTTAGGGGGGCAGGGGGTGGAGGGGCACTTTTCTGTGCCTATAGGGCAAATGCGCAATTTCTAGAATCTCTTTTCGTGGTCTTCCCCTTTTCGTATTCCTTGGGGATCTGTCCATCCACATCGCATGATTCACTCCCTGCACTCGGAAGGTCCGCATGTCAACGCGTCAGCTGAGGCGTGTACCTGCAGGAGAACGAGGAGACCCAGTACAGCTTGGGCTTGGACCTGGCGGCCGGGCACTTGGCGTCATTCTTTGGGCCCGGAAATGCGGGGATTTGGGGGGGGGGGGGGGGGGCAAGAGAGCCCAACAAACAACCCTGCCCCTTCGGGTTTTTCCAGGTTTTTAAACCCCTCCCAAATTTTGGTATGTTTTTTTGTTTTTTTGTTGTTTTGCCACACCTAGGTGTTTCCGACTCAAATCCGTGTTTCTAAGTTCTTTGTGCTTCCAGCCTGGTGTTCCAATCCCAACCTGGAAGGCCCTGCTCAATTTGTCCCAACCCCAAACCTGTCGTATTCAACCTTCGTACCACTTTGTACGAAAACCGGTAGGTTCAACCACAGCGAGTCCGCCTCGAGGACTTCCATTGCTGGCGGAGTTAGAAATTCATCTTGGTTGGTTAGACCCACACAGACACAATTTGTATACATGAATAGACATGCACATTTTACGCTAAGACTTTGGGTTGAGTGTGCGTTTCGAAGGCGCACATGTTTTGGGTTGGTTTTGCAGGGCTCCTTAAACGATACATTTTGCCCATTTGAAACATGGCCTTCTCCACCAAAATGAAGGGAAACCACCATTTACAAGGCAACGTTCAGGTGTATATTGCAAGGATCCCTGTTTTGGAGGAAACCAATGGAACACCACCCATTTAACCAGGGTCCCCTCAGAGAGACACCCTAAATGTGACTCAGGACTGGTCCTAAGCCAGCGAGGCCGAGCCTTTCTTGGCCTGAGCGCAGGGGCCGTGGGAGTCGCCTAAATAATGTGTATATACATACATATGCATATATACATATATATATATATACATATATATATATACACATATATATATAACATATATATATATATAATATATATATATATATGTATGCATATATTCACATAGAAATATACATACAAATATAGACATATATATATATATGTGGGGCTACTTGGGAAGTGCTTGGGAGGACTTTCGTGGAAGAAGCACTCAGATTGAGGTCGTTTGAGATATGGCAAAGAATCACGCCACTTGCCCAAGCACCAGCTCAACGCTCGAGCTGGTTCTTCCCCTGTTTGTGGTAGCATGGTGTTGGCCTACATGCTTATCTACGTGAGGCTTTGCATGTGGGTGTGTGTATGTGCCGTTCCTACAGTCGCCCCTGTTCACGCCAATTTGTGTGTGTGTGTGTGCGTGTGTCTCTCTCTCTCTCTGTGTGTGTGTGTGTCTGTGCGTTTGTGTTTGTGTTTGTTTGTGTGTTTGTGTGTTTGTGTGTTTGTGTGTTTGTGTGTTTGTGTGTTTGTGTGTTTGTGTGTTTGTACTTGTGCTCGTGCTTGTGCTTGTGCTTGTGCTTGCGTTTGCGTTACTGTTTCTGTGTGTATGTATGCGTGTGTTTGTATTTGTGTATATCATATATATATATATATGTGTTTGTGTTTGTGTGTGTGAGTTTGTGTGTGTGTGTGTGCGTGTGTGCGTGCGTGCGTGCGTGGGTGGGTGCGTGCGTGCGTGCGTGCGTACGTGCGTGCGTGCGTGCGTGCGTGCGTGTATCAAAGCTCAGAGTCCTTTGTGTCTTTGGGGTGGATGGGGGGAATCCGCTTCTTTCCAGGACCATTTGAGGGGGGAATTGGGCAGGGCACATGCGCTAATGCGCTCGCGCAGAATGCCAGGTGCTCTGCGTGCGGTCGGATTGAGAGTTGGGCCGTCGGATTTTTGCAGCGCAAAAAAGGCACGCATGGCCATGTGCGTGCCCCGAGGGGTGGCAGTGTTTGAGCTTTCATGAGATTGGGTGCACCTGAGAAGCCGGATCTGGGGATGTTCATCCCCTCCTACTTTCAGAGGATTTGGATGCTTTGCTTGGACCAAGGCCTTGGTCATTGGTCTTACGTCTAAGTCATTAACAATCCAAGGGACTCTGCGCTATCCAAGTGTTGGCTGGTCAATGCGGCGAGATCATGCACTTTTCTGGGTTTGTGTTCTTCGATGCCTTTTACTCTCACACATTGATCCACCCCTTTAATGTATCTTGAGCTTCTTGAGGCACTGCAGCAGAGGCAGGCGGTTTCACGGGTGAGTTGCTAGTTTCTTACTGCGATCAGGTTCCCCGAAAAGGTAGTGGTTGCCACCTATCGTTACACGTGCCGGAGCGTGCTGCACAACATCAGCGACGTCCCGCTGCCATTTGGGCGGGTTCAAAAAGGCAACTCGGCCTTCTACGAGGTCGGAGGCGCAGGGTGGACGTTCAGCTTCATTCACATTCAGTCTTTGCTTCATGCATACGGAGCATGGAAGCATGGCGTGACATAGTCGTTGAACAGAATCCAGGTCAGCTTGGTGGCATTGCTTTCCTTTCCAGCGAGGTGTTTATTGCAAGCCCTCCAGGATGCTTGAGACAAGCTATCTGGGAGCACCAGCCACCAGCATTCTCGTTCTTTTCCGCACACGCATAATGTGATTTCTGCTGAGACTTGTCCACCGAAAGATGAGATGGACTATTTGGAACTGTTTGGAATCACTGGCCATGTTGCCCTTTCAGAAACGCACGGGGCAGTGGAACACCCTGCAGCAAGCGACCAAACTCAAGCAGCCAAATCAGCCGGCTTGGCTTGTCAGAGGCCGGTCACAAGCGTTTGCCCAAGAGGCCAAGGGCGATCTGTAAGTAAGTCGTGCTACATTGGCCAGGTTTGGCTGCGGCCTTGCCCCCACCCCCCCTCCCCCACTGCACGGCTCGCCCAAACAAATCTGCGCGAGGGCATTTGAGCCAATGGAGCTGGGCAGCGACGTGTGGGGCTCGGTTGTGGGAGATGCTCGACTTGTTTGAAGCCGTTGATTGGACATGCTCTGGTCTCTGAGCATTCGGGCCTTTGTTGCATCCTATTGAACGGAGGCATGTGCATGTTACCTTACTCAAAGTCACGACTTGCTTCGATGCCCTGAACCTATCCCCAAGCTTCGATCCGAGCTCCACGGGGCGGAGTCGAAGAAACGAGCCTCAGCCTGCATCACAATCCTAGGACCCACTTCGAACCCATTGGTCAGCCAATGCGTGGTCCCTCTCACATGGCCACACCAAAGTGAGAGCTCAGTCGCCAAAAGCGCTTTTACTTTCAGCTACTTTCAGCTTTGGTGGGGACTATGGGTTTGTCTCAAAATTGGGCAGCCGCAAAATCGGCTTCGGTTTCTTTTTGGTTTCCCTTCCAAGCCATCCCAATAATTGGCAGCCTCAAACAAGGCACCCTGTGGCTGCAGACTCAGCTGGCGATGAGGATGCCGTCGTCGCCATCAGCTTCGATGAGAACTCAACCGGCAAGACGTTTGCGGATACCAAGGCGGGTACTCAAGAGAAGGGCCGTGCATGAGGAAAGTCCCCAACGTGGGGTCGAGCCACGGTAGAAAGGTTTGTTTTTTCCCGCCTGCCAACTTCAAGGTGGGGTCGACCCATGGTTGACATGCGAGTGTCCATGAATTGGCCAATGCAGATTTGGATATGTTGCACCGTGGCTAGCTCCTTGCGAGGCTTCTTAGATGACTTTTTACTAGCACCCACACACACGCTCATGCACAGCTCGTTCTGCTTGTGTTGGCACTGACTTGAACGTATTGTCACAAGCAGAACGCTTGCGTTGTCTCTCAGATGTACATGTCTGTGGTTTGCTTTGTCTGTCTTGAAGGCGCGCAATCCAAACTCATTTCATGGGTTAATAATGCCAGCTTCAACATCTGACGATTGTGTATTCGCCTTTGCACGCAGGTGCAGGCAAACTTGCCGTGTTATTGCATGTGGCTTCTGTTGCTTCCTGCTTGTGCCAATACATACATGCTTATACAATAAATAATCAAGGAAAGCTTGCTGCATGCTGCCTGTGTGATACATGGATATGCTGCGTATTGTGTGTAAGTTGTGATGCACCTCTGTCATGCTTCTGGCATGGGCAGCTTCTGGGGCATGGGACCAAGTCACGACTGTGACACTTTTGTGTCACATCTTGGAGCAACCTTAGTAACTGGCAGCAAGCTTAGTTTGCGCGCCAAACGGGAATCCGTGCTCGACTCTATGCTACCACGTGGATTGATCTTGCGGTGTTTCTTTGCTTCTCTTCGTTGCAATGTTCAGCTAAAGGGATACATCCTATCTCCTTTGAATAATCGTTTGTCAGGGTCCATTCTGTATCAGAACGCATTTGGAGTGCTGTGCTCAGGTCCGTTATACGTGGCAGCTGTCCATCGATGGCAAGGTGCACACGCCGGGCTGGCCCAGAAGACATGTGCCGTCGAAACACCTTTTCTCTTGGGGCGACTTCTCATTGACATGGAACCCAAACAGCGGGTCCCCCCCCCATAGAGGTTCCTCAACTGGGTTATGTAGTGGGTCTTGTCGGGATGACGGCCACCAACTTCTACTGATTAGTCAAGGAACCAGGACCATGACTTACATCAGAGTGAGTCTTTGACCAATGGACAAGGATCAATTCGGATGTTTGAGACCAAGCATGACGGATTCCAGGCTCAAATTAAACGGAGTTTCCTTCTCTTCTTGTTTTTTGAAGGGGCTACCTTTGTTCGCCCAGACGGATTCTAGCGTCAAAGTCCGAATCCGGGATGGTTTGCTCCACTTGTGGCTGTGTTAATAGATCGTGTTTTTCCCATCAAAGCCCACAGAGTACGACTTGGCAAGGTGAAGAAGGCTTAATTCGCAGAAGGTACAGTGACAGCCTGAGCGAAGCAGCATGAACAGCCACTCTTATTTAAGTGAGGCTAATTGTGTTTGGTCCGCGTCACACGAAACTCAGCCAGGGAATTGCCGACTATGTGGGAACCAGCCGCTTCCCAGGAGTCAACTTCATGGGCCTGGTTTCACTCAAGCATAGGTTTGGCCGGATCAGCCGCTTCAACTGCACGTCGGGGTTGCAATCTGCGTCGCTAGGAGAGACGCAGCAGGGGTAAGGGGTGGCTATCCTTTTGGCACAGCTCGAGCACCTGGGCACCTGAGTCGGAATCTGTTTCCAGCAAAGACGAAAGAGCGAGCCACAACATGCCAACATGTCTTGCCACTGCCATGGATGCCCGAGCCAGATTGCCTGGTTGGATTAGAGAGGATCACGATCTTACGATCAACTGCAATGGCGTGCCGATCTGGGTAACTAGAGGAACCTTTGTTAATGTATTATAAGGAAACAGTTGGAAATTCCTTACGTGTACTTATTGATGTGTCGGAGTATGCATGCAGAAATGCATGTGCGCAGCTATCTCTACATCTATCTAGCTCTTTGGCTATGTATATAAGTTGCCGCGGGGATCATGAATATGTTGCCAGGAAATCAAACTCAAGCAATCTTTTCAAAGGCATTTCTCCTTGACATCCCCCAGAGAGGATCGGTTAAACACCAGTCAGGCTTTCCTCCATTTTCGCCTTGTGGAACCTCCAAAGTCACGCCTGTCAGCATCCAAGTCTGGATGATTGTCGGGAAGATCAGTTCAAGCATTCACATGCCGAGGATTGAGTTCACCAACACCAAGTGCGGCACTCAGCTTGGAAGTTGGCTCACTGTCTTAACTGCTACTGGGTTGGATCTTCAGACTTTAACTTTTTGGTTGAAATCAAGGGGGTTTCCACACCCCCAAAATGTTATTCACTTTTTTCAGGGGGGTCGTTGCAGCAACCAAGACTGTCCAGATTTTCGTGGGGCGACCCTCCAGTGAAGTTCCTGGCTTCGGGTCGCTGGGTCGCGTCGTTTGGTCGCTCGACGGCCTTGGCCAGGACCTCGGGGAAGAAGCGGATCTTTGTGGACGGGCGCATGCTCCACGAGATGACGGCGCCGGGATGGGGGGGGAGAGGGGGGGGGGCGGGGAAGTTTGCGTCCAAGTATGTGTCAAAATGGTTGGTTGCCTTTGGGTTCCTTTAAACAAAAGGGGTTGTGCCACTTTGAGAAACTTGCAAACGTTTGTCTGTGTGTATGTGTGTCTATCCCATTCATAGCGCCGTCAGCAGCGAGTTTGGGAAGCCATTTTGCTGAACGCATGGCGTGGCGTTCCAGAACTACAGAGGCACAATACGGGCCGGATTTGATCAACAAATCGATTGTGTTGCTTGCAAGGATCTGTCATGGGAATTACTTGATCGCTATTCTGCGTCCTCCTTGATTTCGTGTGTCAAGCACTTGTTGAATTCGCCATCAACACCAAGATTGGTGAACTACGAGACCATTGTGCAAGAAGAGATGGCCTCACTCTAATTGCGGTTTTTGACTTGAAGATTGAGTTGTGCTGTTGCCCAACGCAGACTTGACAGGATGCGCTTGCTTTGCTTCATTCCAACAGCGACCTCGGATTGCCTAAATTGGGCCTGCAGCCTCCATGGAGCATTCCGCTTTTGTGACTTCGGAGACACCAAAGGTCGTGGCCATCGCACGGCCAAGTTCTAAGCGCCTGGTAGCTCGGCTCTAGAACACCTCAGGGCCCCTGAGCCCCGAGACCCAGGCTTTCAGGTTCCCCAGATCGGTGCCCGGAAGGTCTTTCGGTCGCTCAACTTTCAGTACAGCTGGCCCATTGGCAGCGCCCCCAGATCTGCAAGTCTCCGATCTGCATGCCATGCGGAGACTTGGGATGCGACGGACTTCTTGCCAACCCGAGGCAGCCATCTCTTGTCCATCGTGCCAATCAAGGCAGAAGGCAGCACTCGCGGGTGGAAGGAGTCTGCTTTCACAGAGCCAATGATTTATCATGGATGAAAATGGGCGTGTTGTTGTCTTAGGGAATCCGCAAAGTTGTGGTGTCTTGTGGGTTTCCCTATGTTTCCCTTAAACCCCCCCTCAACAAAAGGGGTACCCTGAAGCAAAGACAACAGAGGACACGAGACGCCAGGGATCTTCATCGGGAAATATGGACATGGTCACGTGGTGCTGGGCATTTCTGTTTGAAGATCAATGCGTAGTGCGTTTCGAAGTGGCACTTTGCTGCCAGCCAACGAGAGCATCCTGGACAAAGTCATGGATCGCATGGCCAACTCTGCTTGGCCCTGAGAGTCTGCGGCGCTCGTCTCAAAACGGGGTGCAGCGACAGGCGCAGAACTATTTTTTCTTACTAAATGACAGGCGGTTGGATCAGACTGTTTTGTGCTTGGGAACAACTATGTTTTACAACTTTCCGGCCATCAGCAGTCTTGCAACTGAGCTGAGAGGGATGGCAAGCAAGAATCCATTGCGTTTGCTTCGTGTGTTGGCTTTTCATCAAGTTACTATCCACCCTCACGGTCAACAGCATGATATGAAGCAGATACGCGACGTATCAACATCTATGAGCATTCCTTCTTGAGTGCGTCTAAGCTGCTAGCATGACAAGCAGGGTCAACCTGATGTTCAAACCGGATATGTGCAGAAGGCACAGTGATGCATGTAAAAAATGCGGTGCGATGCTGTCCATATCCGTCCATTGAGGGACAGGACGTTTCCGCCAGGCCTTGGCATTCTGCTCGGCATATCCCTCCACCCGGGTGACGCTGTCCTTTAAGTTCGCTTGAGCCATCGGAGGCATACAAGGCTCTGAGACCAAAGGCAGGCCTCAACACAATCGAAAGTTGCACTGCGCCTTGTGTTCGCTCTGTGGTCTACACAAAACTCCCTTAGAATCAGAGGTAACTTCCGTGGTACGGACACTAATTGGACAGTAATTGAAAGCTAGCTCACTGACAAAGGCAAGAGAAGAATATGCACGCACGAGAACAAATGCGTAAGCACTCGCAAGCTTAAAGCAAGCACTGTAATCTCCGTTGGATGAGTTGAGCTTTGGTGGCGACTCAAAATGTTCAAAGCGCTTTGGTGCGCCGCATGTTATTGAAGAAATGTCCAAACACGCATGTCTCGGCGGATATCAGTTTCTTCGGAAGCTCGAAAGCCAGCGGGGCGCATTTCGCGACGTCAATTTGCGTGGCAGGCGCAGAGGCAAGGTTACAATAGATACAGATTTCGCAAAGGCGCAGCGCTTTCGGAAGGCCCAGTTTCGAGCCTTTGTCATGCGATTGCCAGCGTCACGCGCAGTTGCGGCTTCTGCGTTGGCAGGTGGTCTTGCGCAGACATTAAAGAATCGCAGCCTCGCGCTAAAAAGGCAACCAACACCTATACACTTTCCGCCGCCAGCCGTATCGTTAGATACATAGTTATAGAATAAACATATATATATATAAGGCATATATATATATATATCTATCCGTTTCTATTGCTAACACTCTCTTATTTGAGGGCTATAGCAGTCTTCGGCCGACACACGCCCAACAAAAGTAGTTTCAAATGGCCACCCGCTTTTCAAGTCAATTTTCTAGGGCATTCTTTTTGCGAGAGCAGCGGGCACTTCGGCCCCATCGGGGGCATTTTGAGCGACGAGAGACAAGCCATGCCAAGTTCGCAGCTTCTCACGTCCACGGGCGAGCCAATGGCTTCGATTGGCTTCAGAAGTCACAGGGCTTGATCTTGCATCGTAACGCCATCGGAAATAAGGCGTGTTTTTGTCTCTTTGGGACGGCATAGGCCATAGGCCATGGTTTGCCAGGATGGCACGTTCCTTTTCTGACAAGGTCTTGAGCATCATGGCACGTCTCGGCGGATGAGTGTAATTCCAACAGGAAGACCACAAACATAAGAGGCCTGCGTCAATCTGGTAGGTTCGCCATCAAATCAGCCTGGTTCCTTGCGTGAATTGTCAGGTCGATTGTGGACTTGGCTGCACTTCAGTGGGCGATTTTTGGTGTTGGGGGACGGAGTGGCATGGCTTTCACAAGGCTCACCCAGTCCAGATGGATTTGAAAGCAAACGCATCCCTCTTGCCACCAGCCAAACATATTCGAGTTATGTGTCGCCCTGGGAAACCATGTTGCGACTGCGACCTGAAGAGCGGAACTTTGGTCTATGTTTCCCGGCTGCCATTCACAGGGAGGCCTGAACAGTGCAGCAGGGAATATTGGGAGCCGCTCCATTTTTGGCAAGAGAACGAAGAATGCATGGCTGGATTCATTTCCCTGTCTCCGCGTGATGGGGCTCAGAACGCGGCGGCGTCTTTGGGTTTTTGCACAGTTTTCCATCCCTGGGATTGGCTCCGCGCCCCTTGGGCACGGGCGGGTGCCCAAGGTGACATACACGTGGCTGGAGCTACTCTCGCGTGAGGGGGGGTGGGGGGGGGCTTAGCCTTTGAGCTTTGGATGCACGGGATCATGGCCTTTCGACCTTCACCTTACAAAGCGTTTGAAACGGCGCAGACGCTGGCGATTGTCCAATTTGCATGGGTTTGAACACTAGAAGGGCCAGCCGCAAAAAGCGCAACTAGACTTGCTGCTTCTGAACTTGCTTGGCATGGCGGATTGTCACATGGTAGACCCTTGGCAAAGGGACTCCCCCAAAGTGGACCAGGGGGCGAGATAGAGCCAAGGGCAGCATTTTGTTGCCCTTTTGGGCCATCACCCCTTCCAAGGGAAACTCACCTTCAATGGGTCTAGAAGCTGATGTTTAAACCCAAACAGGAAATATATGCGGACCCCAGTAAAAGGGCCTATGCTTTTGACAGCGGCAAAGACTTGCAAGACGGCCATGCAGCTCGAGCCGAGGCCAATTCGAGCTGCGCATCAACGGGCTGCCCTTCCGGTCCTTCCGCCAGCGCAGCGCAGTGCGCTGGTTCATGGCGAATCACGGAGCTCCAAGAAGGAAACTGACTTCCTGAGTTCCTGGACATGATACTTTTTGTGAAGACCATTTTAGTGGCATTAAACAAGTTGGAACTCTTTTTGGTCCATTCACTCAGGAAGTGAGGAAAGGTGTGAATTCCGCGTTTTTTTTTGTTGAGGCTCGGTATCCTTGTTGGTTGGTTTTAAAGGGAAGCCACAAGGAAAAAAAACACCCGTTTTTGGGGCTCCCCTAAAACAGCCACACCCAGATGGTGGTTGTAAAGCGCTTTTTCATTGGGTAGCGGTTTGGGGAGATCCAAAGACCCCCAACCGGAAATGGCACAGAGAATTGGACCACAGCGTGCTGCCTTGCTTTTGGTGTGTGCCTTGCTAGCAGGCTTTCGGTTGGTTCGGGCAGCCGGAACTCTCCGAGAATTGCTGATGTTCTATTGAACATTGCCATCTTATTCGCTCGGCTTGGCAATTTGAAGGGAATCGCAATTTCGACGATTGACCTGCATGGCTTGAGTTCAAGAGCGAATCCGGCGACTCACCGGCTGTCGCTGGTGATTCGTACGTCCAAGAACTGCTCGGAACGTGCGCCGATCGATCGATTGGTGCCGTCAGGTACCCGTGCGAGTGGTGCGGCCAGCAGTGCCACAGGCGCTCCACGTGAAGAAAACAAATGCCAGCCAGTTGCAAAAGATGCCAAAGGCACAGTAAGATGGTATTTGGGGCCAGTTGCAAGGCCGTCACGGAGCAACATGGAGCAACAATCACTTGGACAGACCTATGGCGTGGCGGCGTGGCGGCGTCCAAACTATTTATTCTGTGGTTGAAAGATCGTGCACTTTCAACCATCTCGCCTGCTTTGCTATTGATGCAAACGTCAAGCAACACGAAACAATATTCACCTATCGTTGCATGAACCCGATTCCTCGTTGCCCAGGATCCCTTGGAACACATGCGTCATTTGGTGCCCTGGTTGAAGAAGCCCTCCCTTCGCCTGGATCGCAGGCGCTTGCGTTGCGGCCGGAGGCAGACCCAGAGCCGCCCGGCCGAACACAAACCGAAGCAGCAAGGTGAGCCGCTGGTTTGATGCCTTTCGATATGCACAGCTAGCCCGGATGCCTTTTGCATGTCGTTCAGACAGAGAACCCCGCTTCGGTTGTCTCCAGTCGTGGCTAGTATGGCTAATAGTGACTAGTGTGAGCCAGTCTGCTATTGGGCCGACTCAGGTCAGTTGCGCAGGCAATTGTGAGTTGCGCGGGCAATTGTTGGATGGTTCAGAGTCATACATCTGGAGAATGTCCCCGAATAAGCAAACATATTCACCTGTTTACCAGCGGGGTCCCCAAGTTCTAGAAGCACCTCATACCCCGCAACAGCTACAGCCCTGTGCTTCACAGTTTTGAGCGTAGCCCCATTCAAATCCACCAGGTCTTGACACTGAAGCCAAATGGCGTGCCGAATCATCTCGCTTGGGATATCTTGGGATTCCTGTTGGACAACAAAGTTTGGCACATGATGGTTCAGGGGGCCAACGGGAGCGAAGCGGGGTCGGATCGCTTGCACCTTTTGGACGCTGTGTTTTTCGGCATCTGAAAGGATCCCATTGGCACCCAACGGCTCAGCCAAATGATTTACATGTTTCATTTCACCCAACAGGACGCCAATTTGTAATTTCCAGCTACAGTTCATTCGGAATATGCAGAGCCTCCCGGGACCGAGATGTACTTCCCGCTTAGGTACCTAGAGATGCGCCGGAAGGTCGAGGAGCTGCAGTGCCTCGGATTGGAATTCCGGAGTTTCGGTCGGAAAAACTGGGGGTTCTCAAAATGGACACCTTTGTCAGGTGCCCCTTAATTGGTGGTTTGGATTGGTGGCTTGGGGATTTGAGGCATTGGTTCCTATAGAGGGCAACTGGGAAACCGCCCCCAAAGCACCAAACCACCGATTCAAACCACCAATCAGGGGGAAGCTGACTTTGGCTCATTGGTTTTCCGGTTGTTTGCCTGAAATACCAACCAACACTGTTCAATTTTGAGAAACTTCTTCGTTGCAAGATGGCTGGTCTGCAGTTGGAGAAATGCGGCCAAATACGGTTGGGGTGCTTCAGAATGCCAAAGCCGACCTTGTAATTTTTAACCTTTTGGTTTCCCAATGAATTCAAGGTCCCAACACGTCAACCTTCTATGTTTGGTTCCTTTGCACAACTGAGAATTTAGTCAGTACCATAGTAGAAAAAGTTGTTAGTAATACTTTGGCCCCTTACATTTGGGAGGGCATGGGGGGACAACCCAAATTCCCTGCAAAAACCAGGGGACTACCCAATTCTTCCATGTCCTTTGTGGGAGCACGTGATTTGTCACAGCTCCTGTGGGATCATGTTGGTTTGTGTCCGATTGGGGGGGTCGCTTTGGCTTCGAGCCAAAGAATCCTCAAAGAACGCGCACAGAGGGCTGTTTAAATTGGGGATTGAAAGTGCAGCACTGCCTCTTTTGGATCCTTTCATTTCATTGCGCTTCGTGTGGGACATGAGCCAGCAAAAGAGTTTGGAGATCAGGTCCAATACTTTCATGTCCCTTTCTCAGGATAGCACATGGCAGTTCATGTAGCCGAAATGATTCCCTCTCAAAAGGTATTGCTTGGGAAGCGGACAGAATGAGCCCTGGTGGATGGCCGCTTGCTGGTCTTTGCAGCCGAGGCTGCGAAGCCAATGTCAAGTTCGCGGAAGAATCGCCTTGTTTCCTCCAATCCAAATCTGAGGCTTTTGAGGGGATAGGTCGAGCTAGGGATTCCGGGTCGGATGAATGCAAAGGTGTCCCATGAAGCTGGGCGCCTTGAGGGGTTCTACAACTAGTCAACTTTACTGTAGCAAGTTTCACCGAACATACTTGGAGACCAATTTGACTTCCTCTATGGATGGGCGATTCGTGGACTGACTGATTTCAAGGATTGATTGGCGGATTGGATTTGAGTCAGATTGGATGGGATTGGATTGATTTGACGGATTGATTGAACTGATTGATTTGTTGACTGGTCACTTGTTTCATTGGTTGGTTAGTTTATCGGATGATTGGATGAACTGGTTCGTTCGTTGGATGGATGGATTGGATGGTTGGCATGCGTTTCTTGATTCAGTCATTCTTCTATGTTTGCTGTTCATTTGATGGTTGGGCTAGGTTGACTCCGGCAGTGAGTTTCGGGGTGCGCTTCTCTTTGCGTGGGTTCTTGTGCGCTCGGTGTATTTCTCGGTGCATGGGTTGCGCATGGTTGCGCCCTTTGGGTTCAGTCTGTGGGGTTTGGGGATTTGACAAACAAGCGCTGTCCAACTTGGGTGTGTCTTAGAATCGGGCCCTGTTGGTTTGCCTTTCACCACCCCCCAAAAAGGGTACCCTCCAAAGAGCCCTGCCCATTTGCGGAGTGTTCGCACTTCGCATTGTGCGAACGTGGCGACTGATAGCTGAGGCGAAACCGCGAGCGGGCGCAGGCAAGACCGAAGCCCGCCGGGGCCCCGAAGAGCCCAAGGCTTGTTGTTGTGGGGCCCCCCTCTTTCAGCTTCCCTCTGGTGGTTTGGGTGGTTTGGGTTGGTGTTCGCGGGTGGTTTCCCATTTACTCTCTACAAGAACCAGGGGCTCAAACCCCCGAGCCACCAATTCACACCACCAATTCAGGGCTGCCTGAGTTTTCGGGTGGTCTTAAAGGGAAGCCAAGAGGAAAACTAGCAGTGTCGGGCCATGTTTTGCCACATACCCAACACCAAGCTTTGCCCCATCCGTTGCTCGGCGCAAAAGCAGACCTGCAGCTCTGGATTCTCAGCATGGTCTGAAAGGCTAAAATTGGAAATGGAAGACAACACCCAGCTTCCATGTGAAGGTTCTTTCCAGGCTGTTTGGTATTTCTGGTGTTTGGATTCAAAAGCCCTAGGGAGCTGTTCGATATCTGGGACTCCTCAACCCAGGCGGCTCTGGGTGTAGATGTAAACTGGCCTTCGCCGGAGCGTCCTTTGCGCTCCTCAATCTGTCGGTCCTCCTCTCCGAAAACTGGCTCCATGACTCTTCCGCGGGCTGGCAGTGACGCTGACAGTCTATCCAGTCGCACATGCGTTAGACTTGGCAACATGTCCTGTGCTTGGAGCGGTGCTGTTTCGTTACTTTCACGGCAAAGTGAACCCAGCCGCAAATTCGCCACCAAGGCCACCAAGGAGCGGCCAGTCGCGTCGCCATGGAAGGCAAGGAGAAGGGTGACTTTTTTTTGCTTGCAGGTGCAGACAGGAGATGCACTGGACGTTTACGGTCTGTTGCATCCCATGACTCCGGCATGGAGAGCAAAAAACAGGTGTCGTCAAAACCTAAACCTAGGAGCCCTTTCTGGGGCTCTTGCAGAGTGTGTCTTCAACAAGAGGTCCATGGTTTTTGCCAATCCCGCGCTGGCAGGGACGCTCACGTCTGTCTAGAACCAACACTGAATGGCATGTCCAGGCAACCTTGGATTGCAGCTCATTGTTTCGACAAGCAAAAACCCATCGTTGAGACTCATTCGGTAAATGCACATCATGTTTGGATCCAGGAGTGTGGGGAATTCAAATGTGAGTTTGTACCATAGCCAGAAGCCTGCCATGCAGACTGGTAGAGAGTCTACACTATTCAGCCTTACTGCAGGCTCAGGAGCGGTCAGAAGGCCCCAGCGCCCGGCTCTTGGGATGCGCATATTCCTTGGGAAGTTGCGCTTTTTGCTGGGGTTTCAAGAAAGGGCCCTGCACTTTCCAGCATAGCAAAAGCACAGGAAACTATAAACTGACATATGCTGCGGATCACTTGCAAGGCCCTTATTCTCAGCCAAATTCGCCGCTGGCGAACCCAACGGCACACATGAGGGTTTCGATCGCTTCGAGCGGCGTTAAGTGGCGAGATGTCTCATGGGTTTTGGGCCCAGCCGGTCACGCATCCATTCACATTGAGGTGTTTGTCCTCGGCAGTTCTTTTGTGCAAACTTTTCTTGCAACATGAGATCAATGTTGGGGATTGCTGACGCATCGACTGCAGGAACATCCTTTTTGGCATGAGGGTATCAAATACCGGCTATGTGTTTGCAACTCTTATGAACCTTTATGCTGATCGTTCGCGTGAGTCCAAGGAAGGGCTGGCACTTGGAGCGTTGCTTTTGCAGTGTTTCCTCCTGGATATCAGAAACTAGCAATTTCTGGACTGGCTCAACCAGAGTCTCCTTCTTCTCCGTCCGCACGGACGGCCTCAGGTTGCGAGCACAGCCGTGGCCGACCCATGGAAGAGCGCGATGCCCAAAGTGGCATACCCCGACCCCTCGGCCGGGGTATTCAGAAACCGAGGCTCATGGCTTGTGAACAATGGTCACTGGTCTAGCATGTGCTGAACAGCAATTTGTTGCAGTCTTCATCCTTATCGAAGTGTTGAATCAAAGGAGTCCTTGACACATACTGAGAGCTTGGCTCCAGAAATCGTGGTTCAGGAAATCTCATCCTATTTTGCACAGGAAGACGTGGCTGGCTTGAATGTCCTGTTCAACGAGTTGTTTGGGATGTTGGGGGACTCCACATTGGTAGCCAGCGATGCTCTGCACTCCAGGGGACCATGCGAGGCCTTGGTGAGAGCCTTTCTTCGGGTTTCACAGCTCACACATGCCTTGCTTCACTCGGAGGTGCGGATGGCTCAAGCCCTGGTTTCACGGTTTTGGTGAAGTTATGCGTTCAGACGGTTTCATTCAAAGACAACCCAGGATGGGCCTCACATGATTTTATTAAAGTTTATAATCAACATGGATATCAGCCCAGTCAGAGTTAGAATCAGTGGCCGTGCAATCGAAATCCCTTGACATGGTAAATCAAACTCAAGAAGGTGGTGTATCATGTGGTGGCTGCTCTTGACATTCTTCAGTCCAAGGGTCCCAACGGTTCCTACGCCTCTTGGCTTCTGGGGGCGAAGCCCTTGTCACCAATGTATGATCACACAAGCATGCAATATCATGATGCTAGCCAAGCACAACAACCTGTCCGTTGTTGGTTGGCTGAGCTGCGGTCTGCAGCTTCTGCTGGGATCGGAAAGCTCAAAACGAGCCGGGGATGGACGCGATGGACGCCATGGACACGATGGATACGGAGGCTTCGAGCGAGGCAGACCCCAAGAGGCGGCGGGTGGAGCGTGGTGAGCTGAACCTGACCCTGCAGAGTCTCACAGGCAGGGGTTGCTCAGTGAGCTCTGCAAACATTTTGTAAAGAATGGGGCATGCTGTCCGTGGGCCATGGGCAAACCAACCTGTTTTGGATGAGGCTGCGAGGTCTCTCTTTTTTTCGGGCGGGGGGGAGGACGTTCTCGGAGAGTGTATGGCCACGTGCCAACTCATTCTCAGGCCCAGTGCGTCCGATGGCTTGTTTCCCCAAAATATATTTTAGAGGCATCCCAAAGTGGGTTCATTGTTTGAGTCTCATTCCCACCAGAATATTGGAAGGGACTGGTCCCTGTCTCCACCCAAAATACAGCGTGTCTACTGCTTCAATGATTCAATGTTGCCTACCCACCTTTGCATCATGCCGACATCCGCAGCCAGAGGTGGTTTTGGGCTAAAGCGTTAACCGTAGGTGGTCGCTTGTCTTGACTCTTAATAAGTATCCACTTGGGCCACCATTTTGGCTCAAGTGGACCTTTTGATCTTTTGTCTTGTGATTTGAAATCTTTCTTTCCCCTACTCTCAAAGCCATGTACGCCCCCGCCTACGCTGGTGCCGCGGTAGCAGAGGCCAAGGCTAAGGCAAAGGCCTCCATGGCAAAGTACCTGGCGAGCCTCGTGAAGAGGGAGGAAGAAGGATGGACCGTTTTGGCTGCTGAGGTCCCTCAGGCACCTGACGAGCGTTTCTTCTCCAGCGCAGATGAGCTGGAGCAGGCCCCCCTTATCCCGGCCAAGCGCAAGGCAGAGGATGAGCCGATGGAAGATGCAGCCCCTGGGGTGGCGCAGGTGCCGAAGGCCCTGACACGCCCCCCAGGGGCGTTCCTGGAGCTCCTGAACCCGCCGGAGGAGGACGTGCCCATGGAGGAGCTCCTGGCGAAGGACGAGAAGGAGCTGCCGATGCCCAGGTCCCCCTCGGCTGCAGCCCGCTTGGAGGAGGCCCGCCTGGATGCCCGGGCAGACGCCAAGTGGCAGAGGCGCCGGGAGCTGATGGCGAAGGTCAAGGAGCAGGCGTCCTCGGAGGAGGATGAGAACCCCGCAGCCCCCCCGCCGGGGGGGAGCGTGTTCACCAAGGCCCTCAAGGTCTCGGAGGGCCTCTACCAGTTCAGCGACGACCAGATGGCGGGCGACTTCCCTTGCTTCGATGCGACCACGGCCACTAGGCTCCGCCGACTGCAGGCCAAGGACGTCCAGCGGCTCCTGCGAGGCTTTGAGGGCCCCCAACTCAAGCGGGGGGGCCTGGAGCGCGTTGTGGAGGCCTTCTACATCGCCAAGATGAAGTACGAGCATGAGGCCCGGCTCAGCACCCCGGGACAGCAGGTTGGCAAGCGCGCTGGCTTGGGGTACGGGGGCCTGGAGAACCGCCCCCTGGGCAAGGTGCCCACATCCTGGATCTGCCCCTGCTGCACCATGCCCTGGGTGAAGAAGGGCGCCACGAAGTGCATGGGGTGCGGCAAGAAGACGGAGCCCATTGACACGGCGACCAACTCGGCCACCCTGGAGATGGCGGGCACGCATTGGCAGTTGACGGTGGATGACCAGGGCAATGCGGTCTGGACGGCGGCCCGGTCCGCGGGTGCCGAAGGCCCTGACACGGACCGGGCCCGCGACCTCAAGCTCAGTGCCTCGGTGGACGTCAGCGAGCTGGCCACCGACCCGATGGCCTGCGAGAACCCGGACCAGGCCAGCTTCTCGGACTTCGTCCCCTCCTCGGTCCGGGCGGTGATCAGGAACTGCCCCATGGAGCTGGACGAGGAGTTTCTGACGGCCCCACCGGGGGAGAGGCCCCCATTGCCAGGCGACAAGGAAGAGGGCCAGGAATGCAGAGCCTTCCACCCGTCTGCGGTGAAGGCCTTCAAGATTCAGACCCGGCTCAACGCCACCACCATCGCCCAGGAGGAGGCCAAGAAGGCGGACCAGGTGGAAGCGGTGGAGCGCTCCGCGGCGGTCCTCCACGAACTTCAAGGGGGGGCCATTGACGGAGGAGGTGATGGAGGCCTGCTCCTGAAGAACCTGGACTTGGACCTCTTCCGTGAGAAGCTGCTGGACAAGCTGGGTGCGGACTGGGGGAGACCCACACCGGAGCTCCTCCAGGCCCAGACCACTGCGGAGGAGGCGAAAGCGAAACACCAAGCCAGACAGGCGAAGGGCTCCCTCGAAACCAGAATGCTCGAGCCCATCGCGCCTTCCTTCAGTGCGTGCCCTAGTGAGGTCCGGGTCGCCATTGAGACTGGGGTCTTCGAGCCGACAACGGCATGGAGGGACTTCAGTATGGACGACCTCACATCCCTCACGGACTCCTACCTTGAGGCCAAGGCGGTCATCTCGCTGGGTAGGAATCCCTTCCCGGCGGCCCTCCTGTCAGATCTGCCGGACCTGACAGGGATCCCCATGCCAAAGGCGGGGGGCTCTGGTGCGGCGCGCCCAGGTGCCGAGGGCCCTGACAGGCCGCCCACCATCCCCCCAGCCTCGGGCTCTGGCGTGACGAGCTCAGGTGCCGAGGGCCCTGACAAGCCGTCCGCCACCCCGGTGGGCCTGGACACCAAGGACCCGGAGGTGCAGCTCTCGGTCCTGCGCTGGATGATGAGCAAACGGGTCGGAGAGGTCCGTATCTTTGCGGGCCGCTGGGTCCGACGACCGGGCCCGGTACACGTCCCGGATTGGGCGAAAAACCTCACCAAGGTGAATCCGGAGGCGTTGGAGAAGGGTACGCATCCCAGGAACCACCAGGTGGGTGGACTCCCCTGGGCCAGGTACTCCGTTGATGAGTTGCACCAGCAGGCGAAGGCGGGGGACCGACCCTACCCTGGGGACCTGCGATCCATCTTTTGGGCTGCCCCCCACGATCCGGATGAGGACTTCCACTGGACGCGCCAGATCTCGTCCTGGACACTCCCAGGCCTACTGGGGATGTTCGGGCACAGCTACACCCTGCGCCAGCTCTGGGGAGTCTGGGAGTCTCTGCCACTGCTGCAGGGCCCTAGGCAGCGGGGCCCGAAAAACAAGGCCCAGAATCAGACCCGCCTGGAGGGCTGGGAGACCCTGAAGGAGGACGCGCGGTGCTTCCTGAAGGAGGAGGGCCTTCCGTTTCCGCAGACAGGACCGGAGTGGCGATTGGTCTACCGGGCCATGGGCAAGGTCCTCGCGGCCCGGGCCTTCCTCACGGACACCCCGGCGGAGGTGATGCAGCTCCCGGTCCAGGACGTGGCGGACTCCAAGGAGCAGATGATCCTGCGGGCGGTATGCGACGAGCGCATCTCGGTCCCGGTGGAGAGCCTCCAGCAGTTCCCAGAGGTGTACAAGGCCCTCATGGACCGCATTGGAGGCCCGGGGGCCCTGGCGGAGGTGAAGGTCAACTGGCGCTGCAACACGAAGCAGTGGTGGGTCGGCGCAGTCCCCGACTCAGTGGCCCCCTCCATCTACCGCAAGCTCGGCTACACCAACGACATGATCAAGCTGATGGGCCTGGACCCCTCCGCCCCTGGGTGCCGGACAGGTGCCGATGGCCCTGACATCCGCCCCAGGGGAGGCGAGGGCGATGAGGGGATCGTTTACCCCCCCATCACGGCGGACAACGTCCACGGCGTGGTGGGTAAGGACTACCGGAAGAAGAACTATCCGGTGGAGATGAAGCATGTCTTCTGGGCGCACATGGAGTGTGGCCTGGTCCTGAGCTCCGTCACCCGTGGGAACTCATCCCGAAGACAAAAGGGGAGACCCGGGGGGGCTACATGTGCAAGTATTGTAAGGGGTACTGGCGTGCCGGGGGAGGGGGCACCCGCCTCCTCCAGATCCGGGCCGGCAAGGCCATCTTGCAGCTGGTGTTGGACGAGCCGCCGGAGGGCCTCTACAACCGCTGGGTGAAGGAGCGGCTGGAGTACTACCGCCGGGTGGAGCCCTCGGCCCCGTTGCGGGACGTCTCCATCGTGGACCAGAAGGTGCCCAGGTTCAGATTCAGCCAGACCACCCAGACAGGCCACGTCTCCAATGCCATCTGGGAGCTGATTCTGCGGAATCCGGAGGCTGCTGCGCTCAAGCGCATCGATGACATCGCGAAGGGGGCCGCGTGATGATGCGGGACAACGCCATCTTC